CCCCCCCCCCACGCGGCCGGTGCCCCCCCGCCGCGGCGGGCAGCGGGGCGCGGGCGGGGACGGGGACGCGGCAGGGACGCGGCCCGGCGACAGCCGGGGACAAGGCCCCGAGCAGGGACAGCGCCCCAAAGACGCGGGGACGGAGCCCCGATGACCTGGGGACAGAGCCCCGATGACCCAGGGACAGCGCCCCGAAGACCCGGGGACGAGGCTGAGCAGGGACAGCACCCAAAGACCCGAGGACAAGGCCCTAAGCGGAGACAGCACCCCAAAGACCCGGGGACAGCACCCCAAAGACGCAGGGACAAGGCTGAGCAGGGACAGTGCCCCAGAGGTGCGGGGACAAGGCCCCAAAGGCCTGGGGACAGAGCCCCGAAGACCCGGGGACAGAGCCCCAGTGAGCTGGGGACAAGGCCCTGGTGACCCAGGGACAAGGCCCTGAGCAAAGACAGTGCCCAAAGACCCAGGGACAAAGCCCCGAGCAGGGACAGCGCCCCGAAGACCCGGGGACAAGGCCCAGTGACCCAGCTGAGCATTCCAGTGACCCAGGGACAGCGCCCGACCACGGACAGCACCCGGTGACCCGGGACAGTGCCCCAGTGCGGGACAGCGCCTGGGTCAGGGACGGTGCCCCAGGGTCCCGGGGACAGCGCCCGGTGACACTTGGGGACCGTCCTGCCGGGAACTGCCCCCCAGGCAGGGTCCGTGCCCCGGGGACAGCCTCCCACCAGGGACAGCACCCCGACACTGGGACACGGCCCCGACCACGGACAGCGCCCCAAGGGCCCGTTGACCTTATGGACCTGGGGACACCACCCAGGACAGCGCCCCATGGACCCGGGGACAGTGTCCCGACACAGGGACAGGTCCCCAACTGGGGACAGCGCCCCAACACAGCAGGGACTGAATCCCAGCCCAGGGACAGAGCCCGACAAGGGGATGGCACCCCGACGAGAGGATGGCACCCTGACAAGGGGATGGCACTGTGACATGGGGATGGCACCCCGACATGGGGATGGCACCCCAGAGAGGGGATGGCACCCCGACGAGGGGATGGCACCGTGACATGGGGATGGCATCCCGACATGGGGATGGTACCCTGGCAAGGGGATGGCACCGTGACATGGGGATGGCATCCCGACATGGGGATGGCACCCTGACAAGGGGATGGCACCGTGACATGGGGATGGCACCCCGACCCGGGGATGGCACCC